AAAATTACTCTATTGTAAAACAGTCATAAAAGTAGTATTCTAAAGTTAACTAAAGGAAATGTACACTGATGAAAGCTGAGATTCTATTCAAACACCAAGCTGTATTCGGACTTACTACGCCAGAAACTGGGTTTCTATACCCGTGGTAGGCAGAACACAGATAGCCCATTGTGTAGCTTTGTGCATAACTTCAAACAAACAAACAAACTTTTAGATACTTAAACATTTCTTTATCCATAAAGTTTGTATTTATTTTCCTTAAGAATACACAGCTTCAAACTGATTTAAAGTTTTTAGTAAGTTGGTTTTCAAACTTGAAGGCAGCTGCCACATTTGCAAGTTTGAAAAACTGAAGACAATCTGCAACATTGGAGCTCAGTGCGGAGAATCTAAGGAATAAAAAACCGGTAAGAATTATTTCAAAATTCTTAATCAAGGAATTTGCTTCAGGCTTTTTGTTTCATGAAAGTTCTCAGTACCATTTTTATCGCCATCTTTCGCTACTAACAACACCTGATTCGTTCAAATTCGATTTCGATGACGAGGAACCCACTTTGAGACTAATAATGGCTGGAGACGGCTTGAATGATTAATGAAGAAAAACTCTTGATTCGTTCAGTCTTTTCTTACACATATCACCCATTTGTAAGATTCTGATAAGATAGTTGCTAACATTTGAAGCAACCCAAAGAGACTTGCAGCAATTGTAGTGACGCTAGCAGCTTGGGCTCAAACCAGATTAAGACCATGTTTTGTTCCGCTAATGTTTTATGTTTGTTTTTTACACCAACATAAGCAAGACTAGTAATATATTTAAGCAACGGACTGGAAATACAGATACAGCTTTTGAGTGGATTATTTATGGTACAGTATGGTGATTGGCACTGGTTCTACAGTATGTTGTTTGACGCTGGCTCTATAGTATGGTGATTGACACTGGTTCTACAGTATTTTGATCGACACTGGTACTACAGTATGGTGATTGACGCTGGCTCTATAGTATGATGATTGATACTGGTTCTACAGTATTTTGATCGACACTGGTACTATAGTATGGTGATTGACACTGGTACTATAGTATGGTGATTGACACTGGTTCTACAGTATGGTGATCGACACTGGTTCTACAGTATGGTGATTGACACTGGTTCTACAGTATGGTGATCGACACTGGTTCTACAATATGGTGATTGACGCTGACTCTATAGTATGGTGACTGACACTGGTTCTACAGTATGGTGATCGACACTGGTTCTACAGTATGGTGATTGACACTGGTTCTACAGTATGATGATTGACACTGATTCTACAGTATGGTGATCGACACTAGTTCTAAAGTATGGTGATTGACACTGGTTCTATAGTATGGTGATTGACACTGGTTCTACAGTATGGTGATTGACACTGATTCTACAGTATGGTGATCGACACTAGTTCTACAGTATGGTGATTGACACTGGTTCTATAGTATGGTGATTGACGCTGGCTCTATTGCAAGTTGGGATGAAATCACGGTTAATTACATCAATAACCTCATCGATAACATGCTACGTCACTTTGCGAACTTTATTAGAGTACGAGGAGGACCAACCTAGTACTTAGTGGTTAATATGACCTGATATAATGTTACAGACGCTATTTATAATAATTTGATGTTATATTTTGTCATTATATATATATATATATATTGGTAAGGTTTTTGTGATAGGTGAAATGCTGAATTACACATTTTTCTACGGGTGTTTGTTAGAATTGTTTACTGTTCTAATAAATCGTTCATGATGTCCATAGAACCTGTCTAATTATATTAATTACATAAATAGATGTTTAATATCACATCCATTTCCAAATTTGGCAGCGTTGAGTGTATTTATATTCCATCTTAAAAATAACAACGACCTTATTTGTTATAAAATATGCTACATTTTGGCCAAGACTGTACAAACTAGAAATTAGGATGCTAATATAATATAGTTAGTATTAACATGGGTGTATTCCAACACTACCGATAAGAGTTTTCAAAAGGTATACCAAAAATGTAGAATGCCTACATTTTCCCATTTTGTTAAACCCGGCGTTTTTAATACTTCTTCGACAAAAATAAACATATCTATATATATATATTTTGATAATTTGTTACATCCAAAATAAGTTCCAAAATCTGATTTAGTTGTATTCTTTCTTATGCGCTATTTATGTAAGTTGATGTTACATAAAAGACCAATATAATTTTTATTGATGTGAAAAACAGGTTGAAACCTGAACTTCCTAGAATCTACACACACATCTGACTTTCAAGTGGTACCACATATCAATTGAGGGAGTTCAGCGTAATAAATAATTGGTGACTCTAGCTTACTTTTTGTGGTTTTCTATTCACCAGCCCCCCCCCCCTCCCAGTGGCACAGCGGTATGTCTGCTGATTTACAACGCCATAATCCTGGTTTCGATACCCGTGGTGGGCAGAGCACAGATAGCCCATTGTGTAGCTTGGTGCTTAATTACAAACAAACAAACAGTCTATTCACCTACGTAAGAATTCTTTAACAAACATGTTTAGTTATATTTGTTATAATGCATACGGCACTGCGAATTTCTCTGTCAAAAGAGGAATAAGATAACATAGTTGGTTATCTAAGTTTATTTCAACTTACCAGTCAAAGATTCGTGTTCAATAATTACTCTGAATACAACTTACAAGCGTAACTTGACTTGCATGTAGGTAGATTCGCAAATCTGGTTCGGTCTGTCAATAAATTAAGAAACATTTATGTTGGATTTTATAACGAAAGATGATAAAACAGAAGCTTTTAGGACTGCCAATATTCTTAGGTGGAAAATTACGGGTCGGGATTTCTGCAAATTTGTTTTACAGTTCTAGGGTGAAGTTGAAGTTACGAATTTTAGTGATAAGTGATACAGTCAGTAAAATATGAAAAATATAATCATGTTTAAGTTCTTCTTTAACTAAGACATCACTTACCTAACTTACATTTTTAAAAGAGATTTTAACTAAAAATACATTATTACACAATGTTTGTAGAATTCATCATTTTCTAATCAACTGAAAGATGCTTCGTGTGAGTTCATAAAACATGAGCTTAAAATTGTTTCTTTAAAGAAGTCAAGATTTGTCGAAAATATATGTTTCTTTATTAATTACATTTTAATGTAAAAAAATCCTCTACTGTTTATTTCACTTAGGATGAAAATAGAGAATCCTAATGTCAACTGGTATCGAATACCAACCACATGGGTCATTTATAATCACGAAATTTTATCGCTTTTTTAACAGGCCCCTCACGAGCCAGTGGGGGGGACATTTTTTGTTGAAAAAACTATCAAATCCGATTTTTCTTAATTTTAACTGACATTTTTTGGACGTGTTTATTGCAAAGAAGACATTTCCCGCACTTTTTTTGTGTTGGGACTGCGAAAAGTGATTTGAAGTGGTGAGATGACTGAAATTCGTCAACGCATCACGAGTTTAACGGCCAAGCACAAGAAGCATGGAAGTCTCCAAATGATACACAGAGGTATTCAGGAACCGTTTAAAACCACCTTGGTAGATATTGTGCAGCAAGCCGAGTAAAATATTATGTTTGTAGCTGTTTTCAAAGTGCTCCTGTGTGCTCATCCTACTGCTGACTATCGTGATGCTTCGACCTTCCCTACCTAATCGCAGATGAAATCGTTCGTATTTCAATTGAAAGCTAAACATAAAATGGTGATAGCAGAAGCATAAAAGGTTGGCAATTGTATAATTAATGATGTTGAAAATGTGGCTTTATTGATATATATAATTTACACCCAGTGGGTAGACCTTTGTACTAGCTAGTATGGAGATTTGAGGATGCTGTATTTCACTTAAACATTTATCAATTAACAAACGAAAACTTGTCTCAAGTTGTCTCGAAAAGATACGTCTAAAACCACCCTCTTTGGGAGTTTTAGGATTCAACGTACTTTTGATATTCAACAAACTGTAGTATAAAGACACCCCTTGGCTTTATTAGTTCGACTGAGAATAAAATTACTAATTATATTAAAGTATTTAGTTTATAAAAAGCAAGTTTGTAAATAATTTTTCTCCATTAATATAATTCATAAGTTTATTTTTCCATTGAATATAAAGCTTTCCACTAGAAATCTTATTTTAGTATTGTGTTTACTTTATACTTTATTTAATTGTTGTAATTAAGCACAAAGCTACACGATGGGCTATCTGTGCTCTGCCCACCACGGGTATCGAAACCCGGATTCTAGCGTTGTAAGTCCGCAGACATACCGCTGTTACACTGGGGGGCTAATTGTTGTCAAAGGGATTTTGATGTTTGAAAATTACTCATACCCATACAATATTGTATTTCTAAATTACTTATATCAATGAATGGATAATATCCCATTTGCCTATAAATATTCGAAATATTAAAAACGAAAACAACAACTTTACGTTCATCCTTTTTTTATTAGTTATGTTCGAAAAATCAGATACTTCCACATAATCATTTGAGCAGAGATATATTTTGACCTTCTAGGTTCATATGTCAGGACAAAGGATGTATTTCATTAGCCTAAATTTCTACAAAGATTCTGTTGAGTATCAGTGTATTTGTGAGAAATATATATATCAGTGATTAGTATTAGATAACAATGAATTTTAATATACCCAAATCTTTAATGATCTCTAAGTCCAATGCCGCAATAAAAAATAATATTTTGATCACCAGATGTCGAAATGCACTAAAGATACTCCTTTGGTTACTCAAATCGTTCCACAAAACTTAAAAATCTTAAACTTTTCGGGCATCCTTAATTCCTCTAGGTGGCGTTTGAACATCCACACTGGATTCACACTTATATTTATAAATATCCTTGCATTTTTTTACACTAGAGTATATAAAATATTTATAGGATAAATAATCTTCCATCCATTAATATAGTAAGTAAAAACATTGAGCATGAAAAATATTATACGTTTTCTTAAAAAACTTATATTAATCTCTTAAACCAATATGTTTTGAAAGAAAGTAAATTGAAAGGCGCCTAGCATAACATGTAAAATTCATATTATCAAAATAATTATCTAACATTTCTAATTATAACACAAGAGAAAGAGTGCTCTGCCACTGATTATAAAAATGTGTTATTAATGCCTAATAATTTAAACCCTGAATCATAAACTTAGTTTTAGGACTTCACAACTTCAGCTCTAAGCATGCGTAGAATTAATTTTGGAGTTTCATGTTTTTAACTAAGAGTACCTTGAACGGTAAGATAGAAGTCTGGGTTAATTCGAAGAATCTTGTATTCTTTGAATATTTCACAGTTCATAAATATATTTACTTAAGAAGAACAAATTGGTTGAATTTATGTAGTATTTTGAAATAATTTTATTATTTATCCAACAGAGGACTTTCATTGTTAATGAGTGAATGGTCTCTAGCTAGTGTTGGACTACTTCTGCAATTCCCGTCTTCAATCCTACAGTTTCCGTCTTCAACACGTGCTTCTCTTAAAGTATTATCTTCGTAGTTTTCCAGCTTGCTTTTCGAATGCTCTAAACATGAAAATATTCTTACAATTAATGCTATATATATTCGGTTTTCCGGAGTAAAGTCCTTACTATTGAGATATGTGGCAAATAAAAGTTATTGCAAAGTTGGTTTTATTACTTTAAAACATGAAATCACTGGGTTTTTTTTTTTCGCTTTAGTATATGAATTATACCTGATTCAGATCATCCACCACTTTTTGTTCACTGTACTATCAAGTTACTGTTTCCTACGCTTAACATACTGCTGAACAGAAAAAGCGATTTGTTTGTTTTTCTGTTCGAGCAGATATTTGGAAATTATTTCTCTGTTCTACAGCACAACTAAAACAAAACTAGGATATTATTTATGTTTTGCAATCGGAACAAGACGACCTAAGCCTAACAGCTTGGATATTTTTTATGTTTTACAAACGAAATAAAACAAAATAAAACTTAATTTTTTCTCTTATACGACCTAAACTTAACTAAGATAATTACTTGGATATTTTTCCGTGCTATAACATACACTGAACTAAAATAGTAACTTGCAAATCTTAGTGTTCAACAATGTATACGTTTCTTTAATAGTACTTCGATGTTTCCTATATCTTATATGACCCACCTTTAATGACAACCTGTATCTCTCTCTCTGTTCTACAGAAGTGAAGAGGTGAAGCACCACTCAGTATTTTTTGTACTTTGGGCTATTAAAACAAACGTAAATATATGAGAGATAATTGGGGCTCTACAAACAATGTACAGTATATATAAATCAATTAATCCCCTATATGTTTACGGAAATTACTCAGTTTTCTTTATTGTTACAGATAATTTACAACTCTCCTCCATCTCCCCATCTGCTCTTTCATTCTGGCCCAATATACCAGCTTATAATTACATCAAACACCCGAGGATATTATCTCCAGAAGGATTCGTTTGTTTTGAATTTCACGCAAAGCTACAAGTTATTTTTACTATTCTCTAACAGGAACTCTGTACTTTCTGCCGTTGCTTGTATTTGTGCTCAACATACAGAAACTTTCACTGAATATGACTTTCGTGAGTTTGTTTGTTATGGATTTCGCGCAAAGCTACACGAGGGCTATCTGCGCTAGCCGTACTTAATATAATAGTGTAAGACTAGAGGGAAAGCAGATAGTCATCACCACCCATCGCCAACTCTTGGGCTACTTTTTTACCAATGAATAGTGGGATTTACCGTCACATTATAACGCTCCCACGACTGAAAGGGCGAGCATGTTTGGTGGGACAGCGATTCGAACCCGCGACCCTCAGATTGCGAGCAAACATGGTGGAATACTAGTCAAGTATTTCGAGACTTTTCCCGACCGACTTTACCCCCCCCCCTCCCTTTTTTTTTGGTACTTTTCTAGGTGTTGCTACAGTGCAATTACAAACCCGCATTTTTTATTTATAGATTTCGCATTAATTTTTTTAATTTTAATTTGATATATTGTTTACCTTTTTTTAGTTTTTGAAAGTTTTTATGTAATTCATACCCAACTAAGTATTCCTGAGATAAAATCCAAAAACTTCGTCAACAGTGAGCAACTGATGGTCTAAGGCAGAATCGTCATACAAACTTTCGGTAGTTTACCTGTCGCTCATAATTAGTTGTATATTTATTGAATATGCTTATCAACTCTTCAGGTAGAAGTTATTAAATAATATTATATCGTTACATTAATACGAGAAATTTACGCTTCAAAAATATCACAGGATTTATGGAATAAAATAAATCTCCCTATCACTGTTCTCATAGAAATATATTCACCTGCTTAAAAATATAAGATTACTTTACTTACAATGACGTTGGTAAACACTGTTAGAACATTTTGTTTCTCAAAACTGTCGACCATGGTCCTTAAACCCTAGAAAAAAATAAACTTTTATTTTAATAAAACATTACATCTTCTAATTCAAGTAGCATTTTGTTCATTTCTACGCAAAAGAATCAAATTTACTCATCGTGGTGCCTCCTAATTTGAGTAACCTTTTATTCATTTTAATATGACAGCTAAAACAACTTATTGACCACTTTAAAATCTGCTGTAAATTCCAAGTTTTTCATTTTCGATCAATAAAAATATAAAATAAATTTTAAACCATTAAAAAGCGCTTTAAGAAACGACATATCGTATATTGTTTTAATCATCATAATCTTAGGCTTAGCTTAATTAACAATATATCATAAAATAACATTTAAACTGGACTAGAAGCAATGATGTGTGATCAACTTGTGTATTTATAGAAAATATTTTTAATGCTCTAAATCCTTTTTAAGTTATTTATGCTTAAGTTACTCTCCAATATTACTTACCATTGCAATCGTATAATCTGCGTCGGTAAGATGTTCGCCATCGACAATTACAGTAAAGCAGATTCTTTCTTGTGAAGACTCTGAAAACACACATTTATTAGATGTTACTAAACTAGCAGTGTTTTAAACTGTACTGAACTGGCACCAAACGAGTACAATAAAACCTGGATAGATGTCAGTAAAAGACAAACTAAATCAAAAAATGCCCTTAATTTCTTGCTTTTTAGTACACGAATTTTGTTATCTCCTCCTCGATCCCAAAAATATCTATAGTTTTATTAATCTGTTACAATAGTTACAAGATTCACAGCAAAATCTGATTTTGTGACTTTGTCGGTATAAAATAGTTATACAAAAGTTGTTTTGGTTACGATCACTGATCGGAAAATTCATAGTTAACTATATTCCACTCTCACGCACTATCCAAAAGATTTGGTTAAAATCAATTAATAAATACAATATGAAATTGGTTGTGAAATATTCCTTTATTCCAGCAAGAAAACTAAGTCGAATTGTATCGAACAAATTTGCTGACAAGGGCACTTCAATATCCAGTATCAAACTATGTGTAAATATTATGGAAATACTTACATTAAGGAAATCAATCGGCAAGTGTCTGTAAGATTAAAAGGGCACTTAATAGTCATTTCCCTTGTGTTTGAGCACGTGGCTCAAAAGGAAAACTCTTTTGATTTTTCTCAAGTTAAAATCATAGGCAAAGAAAATAACACAAATAGAAGAAAAATCAAATAAAAACTCTTCATTAAAAACAAAATCCTAGCATTAAACAGTATTCTAGTATAGAATACATTTATTTTAATCCCCCCCCCCTATTGAACACATGTATTTTATTTGTTTTTACTTTGTTGTCTTCGATATAATATCGTTCTTGATACTATAAAACGAAACGGTTTCGTTCAATCATTCAATTGTATCCACCTGACGATGCTACATAAACCTAGCGAAACGTAGTGTTTTTGAAAAGTAAAAAGATTTTTAAAACATATTACTTGTTCTCCGTACACAAAACTTGAGTTTTCATGCTACAAGTTATTCCTTAATTTAATCTATCATTTAATTATGTTAAAGGATGTCACTTACCAGGAGGAAGTGCTTTAGTAATTTTGCTCTTTATATATTCGGCTGAAGGGAACAGAACAGTTCGGTCCGGTTTTACCACCAGGCGGCACTCTCCTCCAGGTTTCTAAGCAAATATGAGCATTAAGCTAACTTTAATCATTATCTTAAATGCACAGATATGTCCAGTACATATATTTTAAAATATATTCATATCCAACGTGTTACTTATATTGTTCATAAACCTTATGTTCCGGCAAAAACGTTATGGAATATCATAGTTCCCACAATGGTATACTATTTTCAGTATTATAAAGGTCATATTTAACAAAAATATCCATAAACTTTAAAAATATATCTATAAGAAATAACTAAAGATTAAAGTTCCTGACATCTGGATGATAGATAATAAGATAGTGCGTAATATGTACCTGACATTTGAATGACAGATAATAGCAGAGTGCTTAATGTGTACCTGATATTTGGGTGATAGATAATAACAGAGTGGTTAAGGT